TTTTACTTGTGCATCCTGTGACTGAAACCTGAACTCCCTCCCTCCCTTCTAAATAAGATTTGGACCTTAACAATGCAGTTTCACGTTCAATTCCAGCAAAATGAATGCAATGATTATGGCATGTTATACTTCTTTGTCTAAAAATGTCCATAAATACGTGTTGAAAGCTAAAAAGCCATCCTAATGTCGTTATAGAGGTATTATCATTTCTCTACAGTGCTCTTCATCTGCGAGCTATAACATGTAATATTCATGAGTCCAAGCTAATAAGATACACATAGCCTACTAGCAGAATTTGAATTTACACAAGGGAATGCTTTTTCCCTTCTCGCCTCCCAGGGCTTCCGCAGTTTAGCCCGCTGCATGTTGCCTCAGCGTGGTTTTATTTAAGATAACAGAGAGAGTGAGTCAGCATTTGTCAGTTCAGAAGACCATATGTTGACCCCACACACATTTAATACTTCACTTAATGGCACAGTATGTAACTTTAACCACAAAGTACTAAAATAGAAGCATGTTTTTAAATTTAGTTTGTGTTTATTACATTCAAAAACACAGAAAAAGCATGTGTTCTTACTGTGAGCTGACTTGCATCTCCACAAATCTGACTCTCGATTGCTCGTTTCTATGGAAATGTTGTAGTCTTCCACAGTATGGCATAAAATGTATCCTATTTCCTTGGAGAATGTTCCGAAGTATGCTTTTAACTGTCCATTTCCACAAGTTCCACCTCCAGAAAGTTACATACTGTCCCTTTAATCCCATTGAATGCCATGTCAGTCCCATTACCCATAACACAACATTTTTTACTAGATTTATTCTTTTTTTGAAAATCCATCCATACGTGAACATTGACGTGCTTTTTTCAAACTCACACAGAGAAACATGACAGGTTTTGTTTGCCTTTTTTGGACATTTTCTCATGTTTTTGTTCTTTTTTCATCATGGACAGATTATGTACATATACATGTGTTATATGTGTCTAAAAATCCCAAGTGCCTTTAACACAGAACAATGTACAAAACACAGGGGAGAAGAGAAACAAAAAGAATGGAGACGGAGACAGTTAAAAGAAGCGCTGATCAAACCTCCTGCTTTTGTGCTTGAAATGAAAACCAACAAGACGCATGCACAAACTGTTCTGTCACAACCCAAGCACATCTCAGAGGGCAAGACTTTTTGAATACCACATGTATTGTTTTTCAGATTAAGGGCCATTGAAAACAGAGCTTCACAATCATTGCAGAGTACTGTACACAGTTAAAAGTACAACATTGATATATCTTGTTAATGGCGTCACACCACAGCTTCCACCATATTGTCACCTCTTGCACAACAGGGGTTATTGCTGGTTTGAAAGAAAACACAACATTCAGACAATTGATTTCCAACTATCAAAAAGGTGGCAGCTTGGATCTTTCCACGCAGGCTTTTTGTCGTACATTTGCATATAGTCCCCCCTCAGCGAGTTATGCAATGTACCGTTTTAATCTACTGAAGCTTCTTGTGCTGCGTAACCCGGGACAACGGTTGAAGAACTGCCAGTGCGCCAGGGGAGGGGTTCAAACAGATGTGTCCGTACCTGCGCGATACAGGTACAGCGAAAGGGAGTGCAGAAGCTTTGTCCTTGAAGTGATTTCCTGTCAGGAGCTGGATTGAGCTTGATTAATGGGGTCGTAGGCTGCTGGCAGGTGGGACCAGCGGACTCAGGGTTTTGTCACGTAGCCAGCCACAGGTAATGGCTAATCACATCTTGAACTCCCCAGGAAGCAAAGCCAGAGACATGCTTTTAAAATCTGTCTAGCTGAAAACCAAAATCGGTAGAAATGCGTTTTCTTTTAGAACGAAAAAACAAAAAAAATCCACGTTGCTAAATTACATCATTCACTGCCTGCGTGTGAACTTTTCCATTGCACTGGTTCAAATGTTTTAAAAAGCTTGTCATGGCAAAATAGAGCACATCACTTCGAAAACTTTACATAATTTGACCTTTTTTTTTTTGTTTGTTTCTTTTTTAATGTGTGACTTCATGTTAAAAGTACAAAAATTATTCTCCCGCACGCACAACCCAGTACCGTCAAACCGATTTTTTTCATACACCGACTTACTTACTATCCATAGTAATTCAAATACGTATTAACATCATCGTCATCGTCGTCATCACCTGTAGTATTATCAACACCAAAAAAGTAAAAGCGGGTAACCTTGCAGAGTTAAACAGACACTGTGCTGGGCGTAGGAAGGGGGGAGGGAGCGGGGTAATGGACTCACAAACTTCTCTAACCGTTACATGCTATCAACAAGCGACGAAGGGAGGTGGCGGTGGTGGCGGAGGAAGGGGGAGGGGAGGTAGAGCTTCGACTTCCCAGTGTAAGACATTGTGGGGCAGTCTCTCGCTGTTCGGGGGAGGCTGAAGCAGTGAAGTCAAAGCGAATAACGGGGTGTCACTCAGTTCCCGGGCCATGTGGGGGCGCCTGTTCTGCATATATTTACACGGGGGTTGAAGGATGAGAGATACGAGAGATACGAGAACCTTGTTTCCACCGAGCAGTCAAGTTTGGTTCAGTTCTGTCATACTAAAAGCAGAATCAACTGGCAACGGTAACGGTATAAAATCTAGAATCGCATCACAAATGAAGAGTTAAAGGTGCACTGTGTCACTTTCTGGGTCCGTCGAGGGTCCGTCACCATGGAGACGTTGTTGCTTTGCTTGGAATTTTTCACAGTATGATATTAAACTCCTTTTTCCATGGAGACAAGCACCATGCCAAGTTACCGGTTCAGTTTGTGGAGAGGTGGGCCCGCTTACAGTACGATGCATATTCTTCAAGATATAGTTTAATTATTTAAAAAATCTATAACGAAATAATAAGCAAGTTTAATGCCATACTGTGGTACATTCCAGTGAAAGCAATCTCCCTAGAATAGCTCCATGGACACAAATAGGTGCTGGAAAAGTTACATAAACTTCCGGTCAAAAGTTTTAGAACACCCTCATTTTTCCAGTTATTTATTGTAGTTCAAGTTGTGCAAGTCCAATGAAGAACTTGAAATGGTACAAAGGTAAGAGCTGAACATCCAGAGATTAAGAAAAAGATAAAAGAACAAAACACAAGTCCAAGCTCTGCCAAAACTACCTCAGAAAAAAAGAAATAAGATGGTGAGCTTGAAAACACGAAGTGGCCAGCACAGTCTCCATTAAATCCCATCGAGCTGGTTTGGGATGAACTGGACAGAAGAGTGAAAGCCAAGAAACCTACAAGTGCCACACATTTATGGGAATTTCTGCGACAGACTTGGGAAGAATTTTCTGATTATTTGATTTCTATTCTAAAAAGAACGCCACAAGTGTGTTCAGCTGTTATATCTGCCAAAGGTGGACACTTTCATCAATCAAAAGTTTAGAATACATTTTGGTCAACAGTAAATAGTAAAAAAACTGGAAAAAGTGTGGTGTTTTAAAACTTTTGACCAGTAGTGTAGTTTCAACAACATAAATCATTAGAGGTTGGAATATCAGCTTTCAACGTTCATATAAAAAACAAAAGTACTTCATTTTAAAGTATTTGCATTGGTCCATAGCCATTTCTTACTTAACTTATGCATCAGAACATCTCAACTGTCAAAGATCAGAGCAGGAGTTTTCTGTGTTGGTAATGTTAGAAACCAGCACTGCACTGATTATTGGACCTTAAAAGACTTTATAAGCTGCTTGTATAATGTATCTGTTCTGAGGCAAGACGCATTTTGCTGAAATACATGGAAAAATAATCAGGTACAGACTCTTTAACTGCAAACCAACCTTCTAAAAGTAAAGTAAAAAGTAATTAGGGCAATACAAAAGTTGATTTTGCTAGCGTGAAGCCAACTCAACATTCTTTTGGAATCAGTCAAAGAACCCAACGATTTGACCAATTCTACACCCAGACAGAAACATGCATTCTCTTCTGCTTCTGACCCATTGTCCAACCCAGCTAGGTTGAGTGTGTAAGCTTTGTCTGCAGTACCTAGCTCGGGTATTAACTTTCTGAGCATGTTTTGGGTTGATGGGGGTAAACAAGAGCTCCCAGAGAAGCCCCATTCACACACTCTGAAAGACCATGCTAATTAGTCACATAAAGGCCCTCCAAGGAGCGCTAATCTACTTGTACGCTATACCAAATTACACCACGCTGAACTGCTCGGTGGAAACAGGGCTTATAGAGCATCGTGAATATTAAACAGACATCGACAAACAGATGTGGTTAAAGGTTTGGGTAGTGAGGGGTCCACATGCGTAAGTATAGCCCCCATAGTACATGGGGGGGTAGTTTCGGACTGACGCCATCACCACCCAGACTCATCGTAAAGTACAATTTGACATCATTCATAGAGGAAAAAGCCATACAAGTTTGTCAATGCGCATGGGTGACTTCACATGGTCACCAGTTGGACCAAAAGCAGTAGTGACCTTCAGTATCTTCAGACCCTTCCCATTAAAATCCATCTTGGTGATTTTCTCATAAGGCAAACATTGTAGGTCAGTCATTATAGTCTATGTTTATTTTACATGTATGATAGTCCAGGTGTTAGATTATCTATTTTCTCATTGTGATCACTGATACAATAAATTTCAATATACACTCTTTACCAGCCCGGTGGTTATAATGGTAGTGTAACAAAAACAGAAGAAAACAAAAAAAAAAAAAAAAAAAAAAAAAAAAGAAAGGAGGGAGGGAGATACCAAGTCAGACATTTCTGCATGGCATTGCGGGGAAAAAGACAGAAAGAGATACGAAAAAGAGTTTCCGTTGTTGTGGCATTGGTCATTGGTTGAATGCGATGTTTCGATGGCTCCTTGAACAATGCATATTCTTTTAGTTCACAGTGATGGGTTCGTAATTAAAGAATTTCATTTCCATCTTCTTTCCGTCAAAAAAGAGTAAAGGGGAGAGAGCGGGAGAGAAAGGGGCAGGGCTCGGAGGGATCTTCTGTAGGGAGGTCCGGGTGAGGTGGAGCTTTTAGACCTTCAGCAGGTGGACGGCCGAAAGCGAAACCAAAATGCTGACGCTGACGCTCAGGCCTGCTTGTAGACCGCACCCTCGTCCGTATACAGCCCCCGGTCCTGGAGAAACACACACAAAATATATTAAATATTGACAATTGTAATCAAAGTGTGATACAGAGTTCAGAATTGCTATCAGCTATAATGGAATATTTCAAGGTCCTATATTACGCAAAATTGATTCTTGCGAACTTTTAGCCATACCTGGAGTTGTGTTTTGTTTCATTCACACGTGTTTGAGTAATCATGCATTATTAATTAGGCTGTCTGCATCTCTAAGGCTCAAAATGCTTTGCTCCAACGAGTGATGTCATGAAGTGGTAGTTTTAAAGTCAACAGCTATCTTTTACGTTTAGTTCAGTTGAGTTTGCCTAAATGTGCAGGACTGGTGTGTGAAACATGCGTAAATGAAACAAAACACAACTCCAGGTATGTTTGTAATGAGGAAACAAAATTAGAACATAGATCAGAAAATAGCGTAATATGAGCCCTTTCATCGTGTTCCTTTAGATAAACAAGAAAGCAAATGACACAATTGCAAAATGTATATTCAGTCCAGTCTACTTTATTTCTATACTACATTTTCCAAAGTGCTGCACAAATACATACAAATACATACTAATAATAACAATAACATAATATAATGATCAATTAAAGACTCAGATTTAATCATATTAGTCTTAAAACAATAAAACCAGTAAAGTAAATTAAGAGCAAAACCACAAAATAGCAATATATAAATAAATAAAAGACACAGAGGTGTAAAAAGCCAGAGAATAAAAGTGGGTTTTAAGACGAGACTTAAAATACTCCACTGTGGGGGCTGTTGGGATGTTGGGCGGGCAGAGCGTTTCAGAGCTTGGGGCCAGTCACAGAAAAGGCCCTGTCCGCTCTGATTTTAAGTCTCATCTTAGGCACCACGAGCTGGAGCTGGCCCTCGGACCTCAAAGAACACACAGGGATGTAACTTTGGAGGGAGTCCGAGACATATCGTGCGGTCAGTCCATTCAAAACAAACAATAACATTTTAAAATCAATTCTGAAATTAACAGGAAGCCAATGCAAAGACGCAAGTATTGGGGTAATGTGCTCTCTTCTTTTGGTTCCTGTTAAAGGTGGTGCCGCAGAGGTTTGGACTAACTGTAGTTGGTGAATTGCGTTTTGTGAGATGCCAGAATAAAGTGTGTTACAGTAGTCCAGACGTGATGAAATAAAAGTGTGCAAGACTTGTTCAAAAAGTTTAAAAGAAAAAAGAAGATAAAAGCCACAAATGTAAAAACTCGATTTTAAAACATCATTGATCTGCTTGTCAAATTTAAAATCACTGTCTAAGGTGACGCCAAGGTTGGTGACTGTGGGGCAAACATAATTTTATATTTATAATAATTTAATATTTATTTATATTGCATAGTAATAAGAAATTTAAAAAACTGCATAAAAGGAAACAGTAAATAAATAAATAATTTAAGTCAGTTTTTTGGACACTTTAGTTCCTCAAGAAAATGAAGTTCTTTACATTTGATAAATCCAATAACAACACTGGGATACCTGGGAGAAGCAGCATTGGTGATAGTGAATGTCTGTAGGTTAATGAGGGTTAGCGAAATACAGATGTAGAGAAAGGTAGAACATGCAAAAGAAGAAGAAAAATAATTCTTTATTGTTTTCTTGTTATTTATGTAACTAAACAAATTTAATTGAGTGGATTTCTCTGTATTTCTTTTGTCTATCTACTTTGTCTAAAACGTTCACAACATCAAATATTATTCTTAATTACAGTAAAGGTTTTGTTTGTTGCTTTGGATTTTTGTCTTTATCAAGGTAACTCAAAAATAATGGCTGTTTGCTAAAGTCACTTTTAAAAGGTCGTGATGGTGCATTAAACAAATTATAATCTTTTGTTTGCAGGATTCTTCTGCACCATTGTGAGAAAGCTGTTTTTGTGTGGACCAACAAACCACCAGCTAAGAGAAAGAAAGCAAAGAATGTGTACGTATTTACTGACACGAGTGACGGGAGGTAGAGGGTTTGTCCACTGATTCCTGTTAAGTCCTTGAGTGAGACACGTCGCCCATTTTCTCCTTTGTAAAGTCTTTGTAAATTGTTGTATGACTGCGAACAGGTGTGTTTGGGGCAACAGCGGCTCAGTGGTTAGAGCAGTGGTCCCTTGACCTGAAGGTGGGAAGAACGATTCTAGCTTGGACCAAGTTCTGTCGTTGTGTCTTTAGGCAAGACACTTCACCCACATTGCCTAGTATGAAAGTGGTGTGAGAGTGATTATGGTGGTTGGAGGGGCCGATGGTGCAGATAGGCAGCCACACATTTGTCCCAGGGCAGCTGTAGCTTACCACCACCGAGTATGGAGTACTCGGTGTAGTAGTAGTACCATATTTTTCGGACTATAAGTCACACAGGAGTGTAAGTCGCATCAGCCAAAAAATGTGTAACGAAGAAGAAAAAAACATATATAAGTCGCACTGGACTATAAGTCGCACTTTTTGGGGGGAAATTTATTTTATAAAATCAGAGACCAGGAACCAACATTTCATCTTGAAAGGCAAGTTACAGTAATAACAATAGAAAAGAGAACAGGTTAACGTAATGAACAGTTATTTAGATAACTAGGATAAACAATATCAATAATAAACTTCATCCTCGGTGTCACTTCTGAGCAACTCCGCGACCTCCAGAGATAAATGGAGTGCCGCTTCCTCTTCTGCGTAGTGGTCATCAGACAATAGAACTATATATCCGTGCGTCAGACTCAGCATCTCATCAGTTAGAATTATTCCGGCCTTTCTGAAATCTGACAGGATGGTTTCGGTTGTCTTTAAGTTTGTTTAAATGTTAAATTTTCAGTGGTACAGAAGTAATGGGGCAATCGAGTGACATGATACCAGACTGGACAGCGGCCCTTTTTGCAGGAGACATGTGCGGTAGAACAGTGGTACAGGAGTCATAGGAGTAGCTGATACTGGCACACAAGCTAGAGTGCCCTCTCGAGGCTGTCAGTGTGAAAGTTTTAATATATAAGTCGAAACCACCACCCAAACCATGAAAAAAAAGTGTGACTTTATAGTCCAAAAAATACGGTAGTAGAATTTCCTTGACATAAAGCAATTTGAATACCCAATGGATGAAGAAAAGAGCTACAGACATATTTACAATTTTCAAATATTCAAATTGCGATAGCTGGCTAAGACAATAACTCCCGATGCCAAACTGTGGTGTACCCAGTGTAATTCAGTTGTGTATTCTTATATTTACATTAGCTTACACAGTTTTAAACGGCCACTGCTGTTTACAAAGGCCTGTGATAAATGAGCCTTATTTATCAGTTTCTCCAGCAGTTTATGGACTTCAGTGGAGAACATTACCGAGCAAAATAGCCCTTTAAATGAAACAAACAAATCATAAATTACCATGACAACATGACACAGGATGGATGTCGACTGAAAGTGGGTTGAAATGTGAAAAATGATGAAGCCTCAATTAGTAAAAAAAACACTAAATTGTATAACATTGCAAAGTTTGTATATTTGTATAATTGTGGCAGTGATAACCTTTCAAACGTACTTTCTAAAGCAATGAACTCTCCATCTGCAATGTCATGCATAGTGGCCACTTATTTTCTTATTTTCAATTTTAGATCGACCATGTCTGATTCAGTAAACCTACTTCAAAGTTTGCAGAAATCACAGAGCCCCATTTTTAGAACACAATTGGGCTCTCAACTGAAGGTCACAACAAAAACATGTCAGCTTCTATTGCGAAAACATAGATCCGACCACAGATCAAATTTGGTATGATAGAATTATGGTAGTATTAGGTAATGGCAAATGTTGTATTTTTTCTATTTTAGTGCCCATATTATGCTATTTTCTGATCTCTTAGTGTTTGGAGTTGTGTTTTGTTTCATTTACATTAAACACAATAATCCTGCATATTTACGCTGAGTTCTTTTCTCAGACATAAAACACTCCTTGTGATGTCATGTGGTAATACAAGAGCTGCTCTACTGTGTTTTTAAACTTTATACAGCTTCACAAAAACAATCATGGATCATTTCAGATGTGGAATTGTCAATCTCTACTGAACTAAAGGTAAAAGGTAGCTGTTAACTAAGAGAAAAGGGTAACACTTTATAATAACTACACCTTATTTAGCCTTAATAAAGCATGAACAAAGGCTTAATTAATAATGAACAAAGACTTAATTAATAATGATTCACGCTTAGTAACTACTTAATTACTACCTTAATAAGCACTTGCACTTAATTTGCCTGTGCTGTAAATAGTTTCTCATAATTATTTCATGCTTAATTACTCATGGACTAACCATTTGAGCATTTATTAATCATTACTAAGCTATGAGAGAATGATTTACTAATAATACAATGCAATGATAATTCAGGCAGCTGTTATCTGTTAGTTTAGTCTTTATGAGAGCTTTTCTAAAGTGAAGACAAATTATGCTTTATTAAGCATTTACTAAGCATGAATCATTATTAATTAAATCTTTGTTCATTATTAATTAAGTCTTTGTTCATGCTTTATTAAGGCAAGTAAGGTGTAGTTATTATAAATTGTTTCCGAGAAAGGGACTAATTGACCATTGACTTTCTGTTCAAAACTGAAGAATTTTGGGTGGGTGAGAACAGGAATGTTAAATGTGTGAATTGAAAATAAAACTGAATAAAACTTAACGATGAGGAAGGGGAACACATTACAGCATGGCTTAAAACTCATTCATATCAATTTCACATAATATGTCCTCTTTAATAAGACACTATTTATGCCCAAGTAGATTAATACTAAAGATTTTCTAACGCATCAGACTAATCAGAATCTTTATTAATGACCATGTTAACAATTTGGAGGCTTTCAAACAGAGCAATAATCTTTAGTTAGCTAATAAGCAGATTTTTTATTCTTTCAAGCATTTTTGGATGTTGTATCTCTCAATAATCGGAATATAATGACGCCATTTGAAAACATAAACAAACAAAGAAACAACATAAAGCATGTGGCACTTGGGGCACGTGATCATGAGCATTGCCT